ATAATATTGGTATGCTGAATATTTTGAAGAGTATTCCTCATTTCTTTGATGATATCAAAGTAATTATTAGTTTTTCGAAAATCTTCCTCTCCTATTAAAATTACGCAGTAGTCATTTTTCGTAAAGCTTACTAATTTTTATTTAAATTATTTATTAGCTGTAATATTCCGCAATTGGGGAAAATGTAGTGGCATATCTCGGTATTCAAAAACGTATCCTCAGCAATAGATAATACCTTGTTGGTTTTATTGGCACTTATAATGCAAATTTTTTTTCTAGCAGGTTTTAACTTAATATTTGTTGTTTCGCTTATTTGTGCTGTATTATCTTGTTGTGTCATCGTAGGGTCAGCTATTGGTTTTTGAGTAATTGGCGTACTAGAAATTTTGTTAAGGATATTCTGTTTTTTTCTGGTAGATTTATTAAGTGGAGTGGATACTTTCAAGCTTTTTTTTGGAGTATCTACATCATTCGTTAATTTTTTGGTGGCTTTTTTTAAAACTTCATGTTTCGATGCTAAACCCTGGACGGTTTTTTTGAGCTCGTGATTTTCTATGGACAAATTATTTATTTCTTCGTGAGCTGAATTTAGTTGTAGGGTGAGGTGTTCTATTTGTTCTTTAAGTTTTTGTATTTGTATGTTATTTTCATCACCTGATAAGTTCGGTAAACTACAAGAAGTGCCATCTAGTTTCGAATTATCTGAACTACTTTCGCTACAAGTATGATCGGTCATAGATTGAGTGCGTTTTTTTCGAGATGTTATATTATCGAAGAAATTCATATTGCAATTTAAAATTTATAATTTATAAGTTTTAAAATTAGGAAAAAGTATAGTTTAGTCGAGTTTCGATCGTAGACCACGCAGCTATCACTCCGAGTTAGTAACACCGCTAGGCTAATTGAACATTACTGTCATCGGCGAAATTAGAGTTCAGTTACCAATAGCAATACTTTTTATAAACAATTTTGAATTGACCGTTGACACTGAGTTTTTCCCACAATCATTTACCACTTACAATATAATATTTTGTTAAAAATATGGTTGTAAACACTTAATACTATACACACAATTAATAATAGTAAACGTAAGAAAAGAAATTGGATGAATGAGCACGAAGAAAATTATTTTACAAACTGTCATATCACTTTTTGTTTAAAAGTTCGTAATTTTGTAATCCATCTATATATACACACTATAACAATGTCACTTAACCTTTAGGATCCTCTTTCACTATTAAACTTATTAGAACACTTAATTACTTCTTATAACTATTTTTACAAATCAAATTAATACGGAGCTATTGTAGTTCGCGCCCGTCCGCGGGTAGCTAGCATGTTTTCCGTATCTGTGAATCCATATAGACGCGTGGATTCTTTCATCGCGGCTTTGAACGCTAGCCATTCCGCGGCCGAACCGTTAAAAATAGGCAAGTCCTGCGTCTGCTTCGCGGCAGCGGGCCTAACTCTGACCATATTCTCCAGAGCTTCCGCTAGTCGCTCTATACCCCTATCCTTTCCTCGCGGAGTAAGCGACCTATCTCTATCCCTATCTCTCTCTAGCCTACGCTGTGGCGCTGGCGTCCTATGCGCACCTACATCCCTATACGGCGACGATAATCTGCGATCCGTGCGGCGATGTGGCGATAGCGATCTACGTACGCCTACATCCCTATGCGGCGACGGTGATCTACGATCCGCGTGGCGATGTGGCGATCTATGTGTAGGCGATAGAGTGCGGCGTTGGACGCGCGACGGCGACGTAACCCGTACACGACGATCCACCTGGTTCATTCCTGCGGCGACTCCATCTTCCCTTTGTACCGAATCTATGCGGCGCGGTTGAACGTTATTCGCTTCCGTCCTCCCCTGGGCATCTTCACTGTGGTCGTAACCTGTTACCCTGTTCGGTAGGGTCTGCTCTAACTCGATGCGGGGCGCGGGCTGAGAGGGGCGGGAAGGCGACTCCCCCCGCACAGTCTCTACGTTCTCTAACCACCTATCAACGCGTACCCTATTTTCAACTAACTCGTCTTCGTTGACACTTTCCCTATCTGTTTCTTCTTGCAGTTGCGCGACGTCCCTAGCGTACTTCTTCCTAATAAGATCTTCTTCCAACTGCAATTGCTTCCTCCTAATTGCGGCTAGTTCCTCCGCGGCGTTATATTCAATTTGCTTTAATTTAGCTATCGCACTAGCCGTCGACCGGGCTGAACGAACGGAGCGAACCGACGGGGCGCGGGGCGCGGGCCTATGTACGTCTGTTACAGGCGCGACGGTACGTACTATCGAACTAATCTCTGTAGACGGAAGATCTTCTATAATCGCGGCGAGTGTCTCTGTACGCGGCGCGGAAATGCTAACCTCTCCCAAACGATCGGTCGTGGACACGGACATAGCGGGGCGCGGCGGCGGGGTCGCGGGCGCGGGCGTAGATGCGGGCGCGGGCGGGGCCTGGAGCGCGGGCGCGGCGGAGGGCGCTTGTGCCATCGCGAGATAATCGGACGGGGACGCGGGTGCTTCTTCGAATATGCGCATTCCTACCGGTGTGTCATCATCGTTCCGTGTCTTCTGGCTTCGTGTTTTCCTCATGGTCCCACGTTGCGACCTCCGGTCGTCTTCAAAAAGACGTACGTACAGTCTTTAAAAAGACACACGTATGGATGTCGTTCCCGCCACAAGGGCGTTACCAGATGGTCACAGTTTGGCACCGTTAGGGAGTGACCACTGGCCGCGTAAACGCGGTTAAGAAACAAGAAATTGTCTGGAAACAGACAATAGACGCGTATGACGTAGGCGTAACAAGAAACAGGGAAGAAATTAGTACCGACGATCTTCTTTCTTCGTCGACGAACTTCTTTCTTCCTTGAAGATCTTCTATAATAATCTTCTCTCTTCTGTAATTATGTTCCTTCTTCTATAACTGCCTTCTTTCTTGTTTCTTCTTACTTCTTTCTTCTTTCTTCCTTCTTCTGGCTGCTATCCGGCGACGATGGACCAAGATAAAGTGGATGGAGAGTAGTGGACTGTATTTGGTATTTTAACTGGCGGTGTGAGGTTAGCTATACTAGGGGACTGCTCGAAGAAAAGATGGTACTTTCAATTATACTATATTCACTATTTACAAAGGGTTCGGTACATTAACTAATCACTATACAAAAGGGAGGTCTTCAGTATGGAGTCTTCTGTCTTGATTCTTCCTTGCCGCTTCCGAACGAATGCTTCTGAATGATCCGAATGAACCCGAATGAACCCGAATGAACAACGACCGTCCGAGGCGCCCTTCTTATATTTCCGATGAGAGCGCTTCATTTCGTGGGGTTAGCCGCCCGATGGCTATTTTCGCCGCACGCGCGCTGATTGGTTGCCCGATATCGCGTGATCAGCGCCGGCGTGCGGGGTGCGCGGGACGTAACGGGGAACGAAGGGGCGACGGGGCGGCGGGTCTCTCGCTGTCCGTAACAGCCTGACTCCGGACAGCTCCTGAGTTTCCTGACGGAAAAACTCAATGACTGATATTTTTTATGGCCCGACCCTGTGTTCGAACCCGGGACCTCGTGATCAGCAGTTGCGTTTACAACCACTAGAACAAAGAGGCAGTCAGGCAGTTAAAAATTAAAGTAAGGGTAAAAAGTCGGAAGAACAATGATTATCAAGAGTGAATTCCGATTATCAACCCCGTCTAGGGTGGATAAACGAAATAACCTGTGCAATTTATGTGTGTAATCCACCATCGCACCTTACGGCACTAACAGGATGAGATGAGTGGTAGATTATGTTATGCAGTACTAGCTTTTACCTGCGGCTCCACTCGCTTTTAATTATAAACATACAATTGTAAAGGTGATGAATTTCTTATTACTGAAACTAAGTACTTTAACTAAAACTGACAGAACGCTGTACTGCACTTTTAATTATTAACAAGATTTTATATTATATACTAGATTAGATTTATATACCAGTTATTGTGACTAATAGATTTAATACGTGGTAGTGCCATGCTGCAGCTATAATAGTAGTATAGTTGTAGCACGAATGGGTCGGCTCGACCGGGGAAGGACCACGTTCTCACAGAACACCAGCGTCAAATAGCAGCTTCATGATGCTGTGTTTCGTGTGGTGAGTGTAGAGAACCGGAGACTGTCTTTACTGGAAAAGAGGCATTCTATCTTAGTCCTCACGGGTGACAACGCATCTGTATTTTGATTCGCAAACAAGGATAAATGTAGATGTCTATGGGCCACATCAACCACTTACCATCAGGTGGACAGTGTGCTCGATTGTCACCCTATCCTATAAAAAAAATCTATGATACATAGATACAATGAATCATGGACTTTTTTTATAATATTTTGGTAAGAAGTCCAATTCGTTCTTTTATTCAAATTATATGTAGAGCCCTATTATTTAAACAGATAGTGTCAACTACAGGGAAAAAAAAAATGTTTACCAAAATAAAACGATTATACAACGTATAAAATCGATAAAGGCTCTATGGTACATTTGTCCTTTCCATCGTGACCACATACAAAATCAACATCCGGACGTCCACGTAAAATTTTTTTCAAACCGTTTTTTTCTAGTATTAATTATTAACAATATTAAACGGTTTTTTAGAAAATATAAAATAGATTAATACGAGTGTCATATAAGGCTACTCATATTATTGTATAAGTGCAATATGGTTATGATAGAAGCATTTTTAGAACACAAAATTGCTTGACCTTGACATGTCGGGAGTAATACACTAGATACCTAAATAAGGCTTCGCGTTGTGAGGCGTGCAATAGTGTGAACTGTAAATAAAGCCTATATCATATTCTGGTTTGTAATCTATACTTAATATAATATCGCCAAGTTTCATCAAATTCAGTTCTTTAGTATTTATATGTGTGATTAAGTAACAAATATCCATACAAATGTTCACATTTATAATATTAAGTAGGATAGGACTAATAAGTTAGTCGGTAATTAATATACAGACCATTGTTCTATTGCAGATTCTTCCACGGTGACCCCGTGCATCACGAGCAGAGGCGAAGCCGGCACCTGTATAAGGAGAGAGCGATGTGACTATGGTACACCGTCCATAGATTTCACGCTCTACGTACCTCATGGCTATATGAAGTAAGAACACAATACATAACACGCACATTTGTGTACAAGCAATTATTTGAAAATTGTAATTGAATGTATTTTCTATACTTAATATACACATAAATTAAGGTGAGTGGGGGGAAGATCGAACGGTTTTTTGATGAGATAAGCAGTGTTGTGTTGGACGTATTGTAGAACAGTACATATTAACTTAAGCTAAAATTATATCTATAGTGAATAAAGTACAAAGAGCATATTTTTATGTCATATCGATAAATCCCTGTTATATTTAATAATGAAAGGGTGGTGGGGAAAGATCGAAGTAGTTTCTAAAATCGTTCAAATTAATGTCAGACAATATTGACGGTCAGTAGGCTATAATTTTAATTGTCCTGACACTTCACAACTGTCTATAATATCAAAATATCTTCAAATAACACAGATAACACAACTTATTTGTTTTTTATATTTCAATCTTGCCCCGCCGGGGAAAGATTGAACTAGAAGTTCTCAAACTTTTCACTTTACTTGGATAAGATTATACAGAAAATGAAAGATATCAGTCATATAATTTTTTTATTGTTAATGCCAAGATAATTTTAAACACAATTACGTACATGTACCTTTTACCATTTTCGTCAACAAAATATGTAGCACAAAACGTAAAAATTAAATATTTCAAAATTAAACAGCTAACCAATTAATAAGATCTTAGAAAAATTCCATAACTAAAAACATAGAAAAACTTCTAAAAAAAATATTATCTAAACATTAATGAAAAAATTTATAGTAGATCCATGTCTACAGTTCACTATAACACATAAATGAGCAAGGTCGACCGGTGCGATATTACCCTCTCACAGAAAATCAGCGTGAAGTGGTTAGCTTCTTAGTGGCTGCCATGTTTCGTCTGGTGAGTGAGAGTTCCGGATGCCCGTTCCTTTTCCCCTTTTTTTAAGGCCACCCGAATGTTGACGTTTGCTAGATAAACCGATGTGACGTTGCATTGTTCTAGGAGCGGTGATGTTGCATTTACTAACGAGTCTGGTGGTCTTTCCCCTTTCTTTAAGTTTCTTCTCCCATTCCTACGAATCCTGTTCCTATACCTTATGAGAAGGCAACGCACAAGTAACACTCCTGTTGTTTCTTGTGTCTATGGGCAGCGGTGAAATCACTTAGCCATTAGGTGACCCGCTTGCTCTTTTACCTCTTATAATATACAAAAATTAAAATAAATACCTTTAGATAAAATTAGCTGAAATTGTGCCGCTGACAATTTATATAATGGCTGTAACAAAACAAAACATTTTTTCAGGTACAGTTTGAGAACATGAGACCATTTGTATGACTTTTGAAAACGGGGCAAGATGGAACCTTTTATATTTTTATCTTATCCCGGTCAAATATTGGCGGGTAAAGACGGAATGTTACAATAAATCCTCAAATCCAAAAAGTAGCGATATTTAGACATAGCAACATAACTACCAATTAAAAATAATAAGTATGTATACAAATAAAAAACTCGTACGTACCTCGTAAATCAAGTTACACGACACGGGGTAAGATTAAAACACCCGACTTGTTAGCGTAAAATTCACAGCGCAGATATTCCCTTATAACACACAACCGATCCCTCAAAACGACAAGTGCCGACTTAGGTGTGGTACGTAACAAAATGGCGGTCTTATGAATGTTGCCTGCATTGGATAAATTACACAAAATCTGTCTTTACTGATGCCTTTTTGTGTTACCCCGTTTTTTATCTTCCCCCCACTCACCCTACACTAAAACTTATACAACTGTTTTATCCTATAACTAATATACAAAACAGTAAATAATTTACATAAGCAGTGTTAAAAAACTTAGAAATTCACTAGCGGTAGTCCTGTCTGCATATGTAACCTGAGGTTCCTTACGATTGTAGGCAATTACGTCACGCAGTTAGCAAGAGTGACAGAGGACTAACGGAACGCGTTAGGCAGAAGTAGGAAGAGATGATGATCTGCAATCCTTCTGAAAGGAATTGTTTTATTTGGCAGGTACTGTGCAGCCGATAGCGTGTGTTGTCCTCCTGATTACATCATTCAAGAGCCTGATCACGACTACAAAACGCAAACGGAGGCCGACTTCGAGTTTGACGACGATGATTGATTTTTATTTTATGAATATTATTTATAAACAATTAAAATTATTTATGATGTTTCTAACATTAACTTTTCTACCTATTTTTTTGCATATTTCTGAGATGAGGGCCACCCATAGAATGCCTCATAATTATGGATCTATCATATTATTTAACTTTTAAAAAGTGTATACATAATAATATGTAATAATAATACTATCCTTAAATTTAAAATGCATCTACAGATGTCATCTTGTTTGGGAATTATAATTTTAAAGACCAGTAAACTGGCTCTAACCTCGGGGTTGGTACAATACTACACAGGGTAGTATTGTACCAAGATTCAGTTATTATTTCTTATTTGTTCTGCCAATTTTTGGCGATCCTCGAGGTTTATACTACCTTAAAAAAACTATAAGTTAAGTTTATTCATAGCACTTATTTCTTTCCCCAAATCAGAATTTCCTGATGAAATAATGAATAGTATAGTTGCACTCTTAGGCTGCATAATTTTGGGATCTGCCTCCAATGGGCACCACAGAGGATGGTATAAAAAGTTCCAAACCCTGAAGTACTATATCAGCGACAGAATCAGCAACAACGCTCTGATCTTCCGGTAGAAGCAAACGCGCCCCCCAAAGGTAGGATGCAAAAAAGACTGCTTCCTATCCCAATTGGCCGACCTATAGTGCCAAATACGGCAGCAGACTGCAGAATGCAACCGCGACGTTAGTGTGAGTAACACCACACTCCGGACAAGACAATAGTCCGAGGAGCCAAGAGGGGCGTCGACGGAAACTTGATACCCATCCGGATGAGAGGTCGGCAAAAATTCTAACAGGGAAGGTGCGTGATTCTCCACATATGGAATCCGCCTAGGCAATAGGCGAAATAACCAGCCGTGTAAGACCTGTTGGGTATGTTGGAATATATTTTGCTCGGTGGTCATGTGGGGATTCACTTATGTTGACATTTTGTGGACTTCTTTTTACCAACTTCCATGCAACTTTCTGGTGTTTTTTCATCTGTAATTTTGTTACAATGTTATATTCATAATAATCCCATTGTAATAAAAAATTATTCCATTATTTATTTTTATTTGACGATCCCAGGATTAGTAAGATGAAGTGGCAATAGGCCGGCCATATAGCTCGAAGAACCGGCAACCGTTGGGAATGAAAGGTTCTCGAGTGGCAGTTACGTACCGGCAGGCGACGTGTAGAGCGTCCACCAACTAGATGGAGTGACGACCTGGTATGACATGCAGGAAGTCAATTGATGATTTTATACGCGGTAGAGCCATGCTGCAGCTATATTATGGTTGTACCACGAATGGGTCGGCTCGACCGAGGAAGGACCACGCTCTCACAGAATACCAGCGTAAAATAGCAGCTTAACGCTGCTGAATCATATGGTGAGTGTAGAGAACCGGAGACCCTTTTTACTGGAAACGAGGCATTCCATCTTAGTCCTCACGGGTGACAACGCATCTGCATTTTGATTCTTTATCGAAGATAGATGTAGAAGTCTATGGGCCACAGCAACCACTTACAATCACGTGAACTGTGTGCTCATTTGTCACCCTTATCCTATAAAAAAATGCAGGTAGGTGGCTCGGGACCGTGCTTTGTGGCATTCCTTGGGGAAGGCCTATGTTCGACAGAGGCCTGTAATTATGATGATGATGAAATCCCAGTACATCATAATGCTATGCTTTCTAGTGATAGCACTTTTTATGTCAATTCAAAACCTGTCTAACCTCTTAAGTGATAGCGCTAAGATTTACATAGTTAACCATGTCTACCCTCTAAGAGATAGCTTTAAAGGTTTAAAGCCTGCACTGATTTCTTCCGAGTCCTAGCCCATCTTAATAGCTGCCCTCTAGCGATATCGCTTAGTCTATCCACGTAATTGATAGCTCTAATGGTGTGTATATAGCATTTATATTATATTTTTCCCAACAGTTTCAAGCACTGCATCCCAGTTAGGGTTGCCAACCTATCTATCTTTGCGCCTTCAAGAACGCTGTAATTTGTACTTTAGTTTCTTGCTTCTAGTAACACTTACTTAAAATGGATATTGAGCCGCTAACGGCTGCGGTTTATTTATATATCACAGCACTACGTGAATATGTATAAGAAAAGGGTGATCAAAAATAAATGGAAAAAGAGAAATTTTATTTCTTGGGTTCCACAAACAATTTTCGGCTTATTAGAGCTCTATAAAGCTAATAGTTTCTTCATTTGTCATTGTTACTGCCATTTTGTAAGCACTAGTTACGACGCGTGAATATAAAATTTAAATCAGGTGCGTGTTATCACTCTGAGAGCTCGTGGCATCCCCGATATATTACTTTTCTCTATGACTCGTAGCAAACTAAACACGTGCCCAACGTGTGGACGCGGTCGGCATAACTCTGTCACAACCCTTTGATCTTTTGTAAAATACTGACACCACACGGATCTCGCGCCAACTTGTAGGCCATCATTCCAATACATACCAAGGTAAGCACAACACCCACTCTACATGACGGCCATAGTTATTGGCCACAACATTCGCCACAATGTTGGCCAACGTGAAGTGTCGCCATAATGTAACTAAATGACCGTAATGAACCTTCACGTGAACCACCACTGCCCTAAATTATCCTGTCGTCGCCCGCGTAAACCAAAAGTGGTACAAATGAAACTGTATGATTATACGGATTATATGATATACTAGCTGTTCCCCGCGACTTAGCCCGCGTGTTTTTGGGGTTTTAATTTCGGAACCCCAATTCTTTTTTTTTATAAAAGTAGCCTAAGTCACCTTTTAACATCAGCTATCTGCCAGTGAAAATCCCGTCAAAATCGGTCCAGCCGTTTCGGAGATTAGCCGGAACAAACAGACAGACAGACAGACAGACACTTTAAAAATTGTATTTTTGTTATAAGTATGTACCGTATATACTTTCATATGCATTTAGTAAAAAGCTATAATTTTGACATTACAAACAGACACTTCAATTTTATTTATTTGTACAGATATATGATTATAATCATATACATATATATGATTATATGAGGCCTACAATAAGTAACTAAAAAAATAAGTGAAAGTAGTAAGTAACACAGATCCACCCTGCCTATCCCGCAAATGAAAAAGTAGAGCTATATATATATAGTCTTAATGCATATATTAATTTGTTTTCTTCATAAAATGTTTTTTTTTTAACAGTTTATAATAACATTACAAAGTTATAATGTAGCTAATTTTAGGTCATCTTCTATGGAGTTGTAACGACTTTTTTACTAATCCAAGTGCATTTATAAGTTGGTCGACTATTACTCGTTAACTATCACAGCAAAGTGGAATTAAGTTTTACTTAGCTGAGATAGTTTTTCTTTTAACTTCATTATATACCTATACTACTATCATGTATACTTCACATTTCCAGAAACAGCGGTTCAGTTGATAGAGGGGGAACACATGACTCTAATGAAAAATACCACTTTAATGCTAAATATTTCGCAAACGGACCTCTGAATCGAAAAGATGTTGTTACACACCCCCAGTGTGTAACAACATCTTTTCGATTCAGAGTTCGATGCCGCCACGACGGTACTCATATTCCATAATTACTCAAATTTCAAAAAGATTCAAATGCGATGCAAAAATAATTCTAATCAATAAACAAATGAGAAATTTTGAACAAAGAATTCCATGGTTTTAAAATAAAATTAATTTGATATTAGAATTCTTAGCCCAACAAAAATTATTTTGATTTGAAATGGCCAGTGGGTATTGCAGAACGGAAATTTCATAGGTAAAGACCTATTATATACATTCAAAAAATTTGTAAAACTAGATGGGTAGAATGACATGATGCGGATTTTAATTTTCGGAAGCCATTCCATGTCTTCCTGGAGTTTTGTAAACAAATGACTGATCAAGAGGACAGGCGTGCTATATCTGTTGTTTCGCTGTTCTAAGCTATAACGTCGTCGGAATCTCTTGTGAGCTTGGTAATATCCTCGTTGATATATTGGGAAGCACACTCCCTTTATCTTGATCCTTACATGCCATTGAAGTTGATGTACTTTCTGACCACAGCCATCTTGTAGAGGCAACGTGATACCGGCACGGACACATTTAAGAAACTATTAATAAAACTGAGGTCCTCGATAACGAAATTGGACCTGAAATCACGGTACGTAGAAAAACCGGCCGTCAAACAAATAGATCGAACATTCAGACTTAGTTCCTTCAAGAATGTTACCGTCTTTCAGTGTATATCCATTTCCTTGATTATTTATTAAATGAAAAGTCCTTTACGTTCGGAAAGCCGCACAAGTTGCTGGGTGCTGAAGTATATAAAGAGGATCTATCGTCTTTTTTAGCTTCGACGGCCGTGTTACTACAAATTTAGCAACAGATGAGAGAAAATATCCTTAAAACACCAGCAGATGCCAAAAAGAGCAACGGATCTGCCATATATAAAAACTTTGTTTGTGCCAATTATTGTGCACGTTTCATGTGACAACAAGCACTGCTAATCAATTTTTACCACCTTACGCCGGTTGACAGCATATCTTCGCAGCAGTATGAGAGAAGATTGTCTAAATGGAGTAGGCTTAATGCATATTCATAAAGAAAAACCAAATATTAGGTCTTTACCTATGAAATTGCCGTTTTTTATGAAATAAGTAAACGTATTTTTTTGTATATTTTATTTACAACGAAAGAAAGAGAAGAAAGGGATTGCTACGAAGATGAACGCTGAAAAAGTAATTGATACCTTCAGCAGAAAACATAAAAGAAAACTGTCCCTAATAAACACGTAATTTCTCATTATTTTAATCTTTATTTCAAGTATAACTATTAAGTTATTCTTGTATTTCATTGACAAAGAATTGATCCCAAAAACCTATGAGGGACACTTGAACCATGGCCCATGTGCCCCTCCCAGAAATAAATCCTGGATCCGCCTTTGCCACTAAAGTTCATCATTCATCATCATCATTACAGCCATTTACAAGTCCACTGCTGAACATAGGCCTCCCCCAAGGAATGCCACAAAGTATCCATCGACTTGCCGCATGTCTTACCAGGTCGTCACTCCTACCTAGTGGTGGGACGCCCTACGCTGCGTCCGCCGGTACGAGGCTGCCACTCGAGAACCTTTTTTCTCCATCAGTTGTCGGTTCTTCAAGCTATATGGCCAGCCCAATGCCACTTTAGCTTACTAATCCGTCTAATTCCTCAATTCTAAGTTTATCACGCAGAGAAACTCCGAGCATAGCCCTCTCCGTAGGTCGCTGAGCGACCTTGAGTTTCCTCATCCGGCCAGCAGTGAAGGACCACGTCTCAGTTCCATAGGTCATCACTGGCAACACGCACTGGTTGTACAGTTTCGTTTTCAAGTTTTCAGATATACTTGATGAGAAGATGTGCTGTAATTTCCCGAACGCTGCCCAGCCGAGCTGAATCCGTCGATTGACCTCTCGGTCGAAGTTGGACTTACCTAGTCGGACTATTTATCCCAGGTAAACATACTCGTCAATAACTTCGAGCTTAGCGCTCCCAATAACTGCCAGAATAGGTGTGACATGGACGTTATACATGATCTTCGTTTTGTCGTTGTTGATCTTTGTTTTGTTCATCTTAAGACTTATCCGTTGGGGGGCACTATTGAAGTCATTAAGCATAGTGCTTAGATCCTCCAGCGATTCTGCTATAAGGACTATAGCGTCGGCTAATCGAAGGTGAGTGATGTACTCGCCGTTGATGTTAATACCGTATCCTTTCCAGTTCAGAAGATTGAAAACGTCTTCCAATGCAGCGGTGAAGTTTCGGGGACATAACGTCACCCTGTCTTACACCTCTCTGCAGTTGGATAGGTTTCGTACTCAGGTTCTGTACTCGAATAGCCATCTTAGTCCTACTGTACAAACACTTCAGCACTTCGATGTACCGACAGTCAACTTGACACCGCTGAAGGGACTGCAGAACCGCCCAAATTTCGACGGAATCAAAGGCTTGCCCATAATCCACATACGGCAGATATAGTGGCAAATTGTACTCCTCGGATTTCTGTACAATTTG